AAATTGCTGAGTTTGGGGACCAACAGATAGCACAATGGTTATGTCACTGGATGCCTGCATAGTTGACTGTGGTTCGAGTCCCGGATCCAGTGGCTTAAAACTCATGCCAGCTGCATGTGTGTGTGTGCCCAAAATCCTGAAAGGAGAATGGAGGAGAAGAGGACACGGCATGGCCATCCCCACTGGGGAGCAATTTCTTGTTTTCTGGCTCTCTGTGTCTCTCCAGTGAGCACGTATGCCCTATAGCAAAAATCTCTCTAAAAAAAAAATTGCTGAGTTTAGGGCCAGCAGGTAGTGTAGTAGTGAGGGCACTGAATTCCCACATAGTCAACTGCAGTATGAATCCCAGGCCTGGCAGCTTGAAACTCATGCTGGGCACACGTGTGTGCAAACCTGCCCCAAATCCTGAGAGCAGAATGGAGAATGGATTGTGGCGCAGCCATCCCCCTTGAGGGGGATGATTTCTTACTTTCTCTCTCTTTGTCTCTATCTCTGGCAAGTATACCCACAAACAAAAATTGCTCTAAAAAAAAAAGAAATTGCTGAGTTTAATGCCATATCTTAGGAGGTCTTAGTTCACAAAAGGGAAAAATAATCAAAACACTCAAATCCAAGTTGTGTAGACGATATTAGAAATGTAGCATCTGATGGGTAGACAGAGCACTGAGCGAGTGCTCAGGAGCCCTGGGTACAGTCCCACCTGTTGTGCTGCACTGTCCTTAGCCATTTCTAGGCCCCAATATCCTCATCTACACAGCAAGAGGCTTCCTTAGATGATCTCCAGGGGCTATTCCAATGATAAAAGAAATCATTAGAGCTGATAAACTGTATTGGGAAAAAAGGCAGGCTCCAAGAGGTTGATGTTTGGGCTCCTTCATTAAAAGGAATAGTGACATATGGAAGAAGAGAGTTCCTTCTTTCTTTTTTTCTTAGAGAGAGATTTTTTTTTTCTATAGGGCGCATATGCTTGCCTGAGAGACAGAGAGAGACAGAGACACAGAAAGCAAGAAATTACCTCCCCCATGGGGAATGGCCCACATTGCAATCCCTTCTCCTCCATTTTCCTCTTGGGATCTTGGGCACGCACGCACATGCACCCAGTGTGTTTTAAGCTGCTGGGTCCGGGACCTGAACCACAGTCGACACGTGAGAGTCCAGAAACGTAACCATTATACCATCTGCTTGTCCCCACAGTCCCTTATTTCAAGAATCTAGAGTCAAGAGCTACTCTCTGGCTGACTGAAATGGCCAGTTGGGTGTATGTTTTAAATAAATTGAAAATAGAAGGCCAGCCAATTCTTCCCCCCGCCCCCCCTCAAAGAGATCATACTTTTTTTGTGTCATCTCCTCCTGAAATCCCGTCCTACACCACTGGTATTGTTAGATGATCCCATTGCCTTCCTTCTGTGAACCTTTATCTTAAGTCAGGCTCTCTCTCTCTTCTTTTCTTTCTTTTCTTCAATTTGCCAGAGGGAGCATGCACTACTGAGAGAAAGAGAAACAGAGAGAGAGAGGGAGAGAGAGACAGCACTCCCCAGTGGGGTTGATCATGCAGCAATCCCTACTCTTCCATTTCTACATTCTGGCAGGATTTGGGGCACACTCTTGGTGTGTTTTCAAGCCATCAGGGCCAGGATTTGAACCACATGGTCAGTCATGTAAGATCTGGCTCCCTTAATCACTAGGCCACACGGCAGACCCCAGGCTCATCTTTGATTCAGAAGCTTCTTGCTCTCCAATACCTAGCCCGAGGAGGTATAGTTGAGTTGATTTTGAATTGAATACCTATCACATCCAAGGCCCAGTGCTAAAAATCAGGGCATTATGACTTCTGTGGGCCCTTTCCTCAGTAAAAGTATGAACTTTTAAAAAAGTTTTTGGAGAGGTTTTTGCTATAGGGTGCATACGCTCACCAGAAAGACATAGAGAGACAGAGAGACAGAAAGTGAGAAATCACTCCCCAGGGGGATGGCCACCCTGCAATCCCTTCTCCTCCATTCCCTTCTCAGAATCTTCGGCCTGCACGCACATGCGCTTGGCGTGAATTTAAGCCACTGGGTCTAGGACTCGAACTGCAGTCAACTACACGGGAGTTCAGTGACATAGCCATTACGCCAACTGCTGGTCCCAGTATGAAAAAGTTTAAGATAGCAATGGTATAAAGATAGAGGGCCAGCAGGTGGCATGGTAGTTAAGGTGTTGGATTCCCACATGGCCAACCATGGTTTGAGTCCCAGATCTGGTGGTACAACCAGGATCCAGAGGAGAAAGAAGAGACTGTAGTGTGGTCATTCCCTAGGGTGAGATTTCTCACTTTCCTTCTCTGTCTCTCTCTGGCAAGCACACACACCCTATGGCAAAAAACTAAAAAAAAAAAAAAAGTTATGGGGCCAGCAGGTGGCATAGTGGTTAAGGCATTGGACTCACATAGTCGACCATGGTTTGAGTCCTGGACCCAGAGGCTTGAAACTTACACTGGGAATGTGTGCACGTGTGCCCAAGATCCACAAAGGAGAATGGAGGAGAAGGGACTGCATTGTTGCCATCTTCCCAGGAGGTGATCTCTTGCTTTCTCTCTCTGACAAGTGTACGTGCCCTATAGCAAAAATCCCTCTTAAAATAAAAAGTCATATTAGTAGATTCAGATAGTGAGAAGTCTTAAATGACACAGTGAAACATTTTCATTTTGTTTGGCAGGCAATGGGGAGCTACTAATGCTTTTTGAGCTGAGCCAAAAATGCTTGAAGCTGTGCTAAAGGGGAAAACAACAACAACAACAAAAAAACCACTCTAGTGTCAATGTGGGCTGTGCTTTGGAAAAGTGAGGCTGAGGACAAAGGAGTCTAGAGAGGAGGTTACCGCCTAAGTCTGGGTGAGAAACAGTGCCAGCTGAAGTTGAGTAGTGGCTTGGACCTGGAGAAGAATGGATAGATATGAGACACATTTGGGGCAGAACAGATATAACTGAAAGTTCATGAAATATATATGAATTGAGTCTAGCAGACGATGTAATGGCTACATTGCTGGACTCCCATGTAGTGGACCATGGTTTGAGTCCTGGACCCAGCAGCTTAAAGTCCATGCCAGGCACGTATGCATGCGTGCCCAAAATCCCAAGAGGAGAATAGAGGAAAAAGGATTGCGGCATGGCCATCTCCCAAGGGGGTAATTTCTCACTTTCTGTCTCTTTTTCTCTTTGTCTCTCCAGCAAGTGTATGCACCCTACAGCAAAAATCTCTTTTAAAAAAAGAAATATTTATGATTAAGGAAGGAAAGGACAGAATGAACGCTGTTACTTTCAATAATATAGTTAACTTTAGTTGTATATTCCCTCTCAACTTCAAGAATTGATCCAGACAAAGGTGATATCCCAAGGAAGGTTTTCTCTTTCTCAACTCTTCACTAGTAAGATTTGCACTTTGGAAGGGGGAAGATTCTACAAGGGTGCAAAGAGGACATTGTTCTGAGGGATGTGAGTTATCCTCCTGCCTGCCTCATCCCTCTTCTGACCTTATTTTATACACCCCCTATGGCTGCACTGATGTGAGTCTGAGTTTTGTTAATGGCTGAAATCAGACTCATTACTTTCAAGTCACAACTCTGGTGTCCTGGAGTGGAGTAAGTACATCATATGTTCTCATCACTTCCTAATTATTTTCCAATTAACCAAACTTGCCTCCCAAGTAAGGGTCTAACGTAAGCCCATGTTCATGTGGGACGTGTGTATGTACATATATACACAGTTGAGGGGTACCGCCTGTAGTCCAAGGCCCAATCTCAACTGATGGTTATGATCTTTACTTTATTCAATTCAATTAGTTTTTTTTATTTTTTGAGAGTTTTTTGCTATAGGACCTGTGTGCTCGTCAGAAAGACAGAGACAGAAAGCGAGAAATCACCCCCCAGGGGGGATGACCATGCCTCAATCCCTTCTCCTCCAGGAATCTTGGGCACACACGCAAACGCACTCGGCGTGGGTTTAAGCCACCAGGTCCTGGACTCGAACCACAGTCGACTATATGGGAGTCCAGCGACATAGCCATTACGCCAACTGCTGGTCCCACATTCGCTCTAGTTTGAATCCCAATAAAAAAACAGTTGGGAATGAACTTCAGAACAGAGTTCTTTTTTTTTTTTTTTTTTTAAGGAGAGATTTTATGCTATAAGGCACATGCATTTTCCAGAGAGATGGAGATAGAGACAGAAAGCGAGAAATCACCCCCCCCCCCCCCGGGGGGACAATCCCTTCTCCATTCTCCTCTCAGGATTTTGGGCATGCACATGCACCTGGCGTAAGTTTTAAGCTGCTAGGTCTGGGACTCGAAATGCAGTCAACTACGTGGGAGTCCAGTGACGTAACCATTACGTCATCTGCTGTTCCCCAGAACAGGGTTCTAATGCCAACAATTAAACAATTATACACTGTTTTTATCAAGAAGACTCCAGTGGAAGTCTGCTTTTCTTTCTCCATCTGTTTTTCTTTTCTTTTTTCTTTTTAAATTTTGCTATAGGGCATGTGTGCTCACTGGAGAGACAGAGAGAGAGAGAGAGAGTGTGAGAACTCACCTTGGAAGAGGAGGGGAGGGGCTGTCCCTGCTGCAAGAGCTTCTCCTCCATTCTCCTCTCAGGATTTTTGGCACGCACACTAGTGGGTTTGTTTTTTTTTCCCAAGCCACTGAGTATAGGACATGAACCATGCAGTCGGCCATGTGGGATCCAGCTGCCTTCACGACCATACTATCTGGCTATTCCTTGTTTCTCTTTTCTTTTCTTTTTAAATTGCCAAAGGGTATGTGTGCTTGCTATGCCAAAGGGGCATGGTCACACCACGATCTTGTGTTCATCCCATCAGGATGCTGGACATGCATGCACACACATCTGGTACGTTTTTCAAGCTGGCAAAGCTGGAATTCAAAACTTGATTGATCATGTGGGATCCAGCTTCCCTTACATGAGGCTACCGGGCTGGAGTGTATATTTTTCTCTTTCCTATGAAACAGACTTGGGAGTATGAAAGCCGCTGGGTGCAGTACACAGACTTTGTAGAGAAAAAAGACTTAATCCACACCTTTTACTACAATTACTGTGTACGCTGGAGTGTCCCAACAGCTCGGAGACCAATGGCAGAAGTCAGCGCTGCGTGCTTCTTTACTATCAAGATCAGCAAAGGCAAACCTCCGGTAAGCTCTTCCTTTTCTGCCCTGCTCCTTTCCGTAAGGCTTCACTGAGAATGGAGACTTTTCTTGTCATGGTCATCAATGATCCTTCTTTACAAAATGTAATATATCTGTATTTCTGTCCTCATCTTACTTGGCCCGCCTATAGCATTTGCTGTAGTTGATCTCTCCCTCCTCCATGAAACTTTCCATTTGACTTCCAGAACAACATACTCTCCTGGTTCCCCTCCACACACACCTCACTGACCACTCCTCCTTGCTCTCTACTGGTATGGCTACCTCACACCAACCTCTTCATGTCTGAATGGTCCCAGACTCAGGCTTTGTACCTGTTCTCTCTCCTCACTTCCTTGGTTATCTTGTCCAGTCTTTTGGCTTTAAATGACACCTACAGGTTAGAATTTCTGAATTTATGTCTCCAGCTCAGACCTGTCCCACGTGGGTATTTAACAAATATCTTGCTTAATTTTTTTAAAAGTGTATTTCTTCCATGAGAGAGGGAGAGAGAGACAGCACCCCCGATGGAGTCATGATGCTATGCTCCACCCCACCTGAGCCTCAGCCAGCCCAGGATCATGGGCATGCACATGCCTGGTGTACTCAGGGATGTCCCCGAATGGGAACTCAAAACCTTCCCATGTAGCGATAGGTCAGCTTTGCAGAGCACTGCCTTACTGCAGTGCCACCATGCAGCCCGAACATCTCACTGACTGTATCTCAATTTCTGATTTTCCCTTCCATACCTAACCTAACCTAACCTACCTACCATCTTCCTCATCTCAGTTCATGGCCAGAATCTTGGCATCATCCTCGACTCTTGTCTCTGACACCCTCCATCCAATCCATTAGGAAATCTTGTTGACTCTACCTTCAAAAATATATCTGGAATCCAATAATTTCTCACCACTCCACTACTCCACTTCTACCACTGTAGTCCAAGACACCATCCTCTCTCAGCAAGATTTCAATAGCCTCCTGACCAGTCACTCTGCTTCCACCCTTGCTGTCTTCATGTCTCTCTTTAACATAACAAGCAGTCAGAGTGAGCCTTATAAAACAGTTTCTCTGTTTCTCTCTTCCGAACTTTCCAAAAAGTGTTTCACAAACTTTCAAATGCATACAAATTACTTGGGGAATCTTGTTAAAAAGATTCTGATTCAGCAGGCCTGGGGGTGGGGCTTGAGAGTCTGCATTACAAACTCCCAGGCAGTGCTAATGCTGCAGGTGCAGAGACTATACTTGAGTAGGGAGGGCCTGCAAGGCCTTATGTGATTCCATCCCTTGTAAATTCTGCTTTCCCACAATTCCTACCTCCTCACTCCTCTGCCTCAGCCACTCTGATCTTGGCACTCCTCAAATAAGCCAGATATAATCCTGCCTTGGGACTTTTGCACTTGCTGAGTGCAAAAGTGTTTTACTGAAACACCCTCCACTTGCTGAATGCAAAACATTCTCCCCTAGGCATGTACATTTCCCTCCCTCACTTCCTATCTTGTACTTTCTATCCTATCTCCCCTCCATACTTTTACTCTATGACACTTTCATCACCTCCTAATATTCTATATAATTGATTATTTTGTTATTGTTTGCCCTTTTCCCCAACCAACCAGAATGTAAGCTTCACAGAGGCAGGGACTTCTTTCTTGCTGTAAATCAAGGCCTCACAAATAGTAGGCACTCAATAAATACTTGAAGCCACTAGACAGACCACGATTAAGAAATATGTTGACTAAGGGCAGGCAGATGGTGTGGTGATTAAGGCACTGGACTCCCACAAGGCTTATAGCAGTTCGAGTCCTGGACCTGGCAACTTGCTTTCTCACTTTCCCATTCTCTCTCTTTGTCTCTCTCAAGTCAAATTTAAAAGTAATAATAAATAAGTATTAAAAAAAAAGAAATATGTTGACTTGATAGCTAGTATGAAAGAAGCCAAAATAACATCCATGAATCTATGAGAAGGGTCCTCAGAGGAGCAGGGCTGGTACCTGCCTGGAATACAACATAAAAATGTTGTTTCCCCTTTGCCCTCTCATCCTTTCACAAAAGTTATTTGAGCCTTGGCTGACTCTAAGGCTTTATAGATGACCACAAAGTGAGTGAACTATGTCCTAGATTCATCCTATTCTAGTACAAACATGTATATTCAGAGTTGGGAAACTGGAGTAATCTACAGAGGTACAATATGTGGAGATCTCACTTCTTCTGGCCGTACATCACTCCCCCAGCTGTCTTGCTAACTGGCAAGGTCAGAGATCAGGAAATAAAGCTGGTAGAGGTCAATAAGACTAAACAGAGAGGTCTCAGAACAGCTGTTTCTCAAAATTCCAACCATAATTTTAGAGGTGAGAATGGATGGGGACCACAGTGTTACAATCTACATTTATGTTGCTTGAAAAATGTTTTCCATCCTTATTCATCTATATTTTCTTTTTTGCCATAGGGCATGTGCGCTCACTGGAGACAGAGAGAGGCAGTGAGAAGGAAAGTGAGAAATCACCCCCAGAGGGGATGCCACACCAGTCCCTTCTCTTCCATTCCCCTCTTGGGATTTTGGGCATGCACGCACATGCGCCTGGCATGATTTTCAAGCTGCCAGTTCTGGGACTCGGACTATGGTTGGCCATGTGGGAATACAGCGCCTTAACCACCACACCACCTGCTGGCCCCCAACTATTGATGTATTATTTCAATCTCATGCTATTCCTGAGAGGTTCAGATTGTGCAGTAAACTGGAGCACGTAAAGAAGGTAAATGACGTACTCATACTTCTATTAATGAGCAGTATAAATCTCCCCTGACTTGTTTCCAGTTTTGTGCCAGTTCTTAAGGTATTTATTGTCAAAGGCCTTTTGGGGAACAGAGGGCTACAGACTTCTAAGTCATAAGGAAGATAAATTACGGTAATTCGCGACTAGACATATGGACAAGTATAGAGATGGAGGGAATTAGAGCTGGTATGATCAGTCTGGGCTGACAGTTGTCCTTCTCTCTCTTAGAGTGCACCCATTGATGTCTCTTATATCTTTGAGGGCCAGGAATTAGTTCACAGGTAATGAATGTGGAGATTGATTTATAAAGGGTGGGAAAAGGTCATCATCACACAGTAGGAATCACAAGGCAGGCTCGCAGCCACAGATAATTCATGTAACGGTCACCTTCCTTGCTTCTTTGGACTACCTACCCTAGCAGAATGGGCTGAAAATAGAACTCTGCCATTGTTGTAGAAAATTATTTTCTTAGTATCTAGTTTTCCAGTGATTAGAAATTTGAGGATAAGTCGCTGGAATCGGGTGGGAGCAAAGTGGGTCATGTCTATTGTTCCAATGAGAAACTTCAAAATCACACGGGATTAACTCATGTACAGCAATCCCTTTTATCTGTACAGCAGCTCTCTTAAAGTCTTTACTTAAAAGCTCATTAATGTTTTCATCAATTGGGCCTAAGGAACAATAAACAGACAGAACCCTCCCCCTGCCATAAAGAGGCTTTCTTACTAGTAATGTAACAGAATAAATGGGGAATCTCTGGCTCATTGTTTTGTTTGATTTTAAAAGCTTTTGGTGTGTTTGTTTTTCTTCCTCTGTAGACCAGGAATGAGTCGCTTTCGAGAAAAATGGCTGAGGGACATTATTGAGGCCAAACATGTTTTACTGGAATCAATTCCCTTCTAATTTGATTGCGTCTGATTCTTACAGAATGTTTTAGGATTCTCTAATGAGAATATATATGAAAAATACAATACTGCACATCAGACCACAGAATATTTATTGAAAAATAAACTTGTGGCACACAATCCAGCTGTATTTATTTTTTGCATTCATTTTCCATCCTGCAACTTCTATCACATTAGCAAAGTAACCAGTAGGTTGTTTTCTATCTTCTAAAATATTTTTTCCATCACTCTATGCCTCGGTTCAGTCTTACAGCTACAGAGCAGCGTTTAGAGTTGCTAAAATTCACCTGTCAGACCAAACTAAGATTGGTATTTGCCTGCTCGTTCCGTATTTTGAACCAAAATCTGCAGCCCAGACGCACCTCTTTATGGACACAACTGGAGAACAACAAAACTGCAACAGTTCTATAGCTCATAATATATCCATTCTAGAGTTCTCCTACTCACAATAACAGCCTTTTTTTTTTCTTTTTCTTTTTCTTTTTTTTTTTTTTTCTGGGAGTTATAAGCCTCACTGCTGAACAATGCATTTTGAAACTCTAATCTAGGCATGCTGCCCTTCCCAGTATGCGATTACACTCATGTTGCTCATGTTGGCAGCAGGGTGTCTTGAGGACTGGGAGCCACAAGACGGGGATGGGTTGAATCACTGCCCTTACTTATTTCTAGTCTTCTTCCCATCCTCACAGCAGATCACCACTTGCTCCTATCTTACGGGTGAGGCTCTCTTACCTGATTGCAAATATGAAGACACCAAAAGACAAAATTACCTTATACTCCGAGTGATCATTCACGAGTGTGTCTGAAAAGGTATCTACATAGACAAGCACTGGAAAGGAACACAGAATATTAAAGACAACTGACGTAGTAGGACTATGGGTAGTTCTGCTTTCTTTTTTAAGTTATATTTATGCAATAAATAAAAACAGAGGGAAAATCCTATCAAAGCAACAGGTGAGGAGGTGGGAAATGAGATGTCTTTTCGAGAATAAAAATATATTTAAGACACAATAACTTCAGTTTGACTTATGGCACTAAACATGGTCTAGAATAGTAACTCTCATGAGCTGAAAACAAAATACTTTTAGCCCTTTTATTCTTCCCCCTCCTTTCTGAAAGAATATGTTACTGTTCCTTGGCAGCTCTTTCCCAAACTCTGATGGAAGAAATGGTAAGGAAGTGAAATGCATTAATATATTTTCTTTCATTTACTGAACATTTGTTGAGTATGCACTCTGTAGAGGAAGACAAGAGAATCAAAGGAAAATTCATAATATTCATATAACACAAAACTGCTGAATCTAAACTACCTTGCCTATTGGAAAAAGAGAATATAACACTTCTGGTCTCTAGGAATCAGTACCCAAAAATAATGTCCTAGAGCATGAAATTGTAAGTGGGGGTCATAAAATTTAGCTTTTACTATACATGGAAGTAGATGGACTAAGCCTTGCGGACTTGGCACCTAGTTTCCTTTGAACTTTTGTAAAGTGCGGATTTACTAGGATAAGCAGCAACTACAATGAAGTATGACTAAGCAGAAATCATTTCAAATTCAGGGGCCATAAGTGTTGCTACATGCTTAGTTCAGTGGTTGTGGGTTAAAAATAGACACTCTGTTAGAATGTAATGTTAAATGGTGAAACTTTTCTTTATTGTCTGAAATATAACTGTCTTATTTAAAAGCTTCAGGTAAAAACTCACTTTATTATAGGAAGACAGAGCATTTTATAACAGTACAGTCAGAATTTTCTCATCACCTAGGTGATTTTAATTTATCCTAGGCACATAATAATAATGCAGATCAAAACAACCTTAAGAAAAACAGCCACATCTTCCATTATCCCCTTCCCCTTCATCCTTGTATCCTCAAAGTGTACAAAATAAAGGTAGAAAAGAGACCGTAATCTCATAGTCTTACAATTTTGCATTTCTCTCAAATTTAAGTCAGTAATAGCTTCAAATGTGGTAAAGTGAGAGGGTTCTATACAGTTAAGGATTAAGCTGAATGACGGATCTAAAAAAAAATAGAAAAGGTTTAACAATGTTTAAAATGAATCTACATAGTCCATAAAAGATACAGTTAAAAATGCTTAATATTTAAGCTTTATTCTTATGAAACAACTAAGTTAAAATACTGACTTGTAATGGTTTTCTCTATCTGAACCTTGACCACAACGGACTCCCATTCTTTTTAGATATTCTATCATCAAAGTGAAAAAATGTACTTTCAGTGGCACAGCAGTAAACTTCTGGAGACTTTATCACTGAAAGACCCATTTTTAAGCATGATCTTACTAAGAATTTAAAAAAGTTAATGCTCATATTTCCAAATCAACAGTCATATGGGTAAGTTTGCTTTTTGGTTTTGGAGTAGAGGTAGGGACTTAACCCAAAATCCATTATTTCCAGGGCAGACTACTGCATTACACAAGTCAGTGTTCAAATTCCATATTTGCTTCTTTTTCAGCGACGTCTTCATTTTTTGTTAACAAAAGTGGCCTCTTATATGTTTCTATCAAGTCCATGTATAACACAGTCAACACAGAAGGACATGATCATTGTCCCCCAGTTCAGGTGGACGGCATCATGTGGAGCTAACCGTGGCGCTGTCCCATGGCATGAGATTGTAGCTTCTCACTTCACTGACATTGTCTCTTGTGCCGCCTGCCTCAATACAGTAGAATTTGATCCGTAATTTGGATTTTTTAACTAGAAAGTTATCATAGTCAATTGAAAATAACCCAAGAACTTGCTAAAGTTATATCAATAAGCAGCTTTTTATTGAAGGAGTGAATGAATTAAATAGAAGGCACAGTAGCACTGTAAAGCTTTTTTGGAGCATAATAATCATTTTGTGTATGTGTGTGGAGCCCAGACTTTCTTTTTTGTTGTTAAAATGTCTGCTGAACAATCCGAAAATCCTTATTTGTCATCCTTCCCTTTGGTCTTTCTGTAAACCATCTCTCGAAAACTGGCCAGAATCTTGTTCTCTCTCTTTCGTCTCTCTTCTTGGTTAAAGGATGCAAGGGCTCTCTTCTCATCAGCGCTGTAGATCTGGTTCTCTTTGCGCAGTCGCACAGCCTCCATTCGGCGATGCCTAGAGATAATTTTATTTTTGGCTTAATTCCTCAGTCATTACTTTCATAGCACATCCTCACCAATCTTTTCTCAAGACAGAATGGTCTATTTAAAAATCTGAGAAATAAAACTGCTTTTGGAATGGGTAAGATCATTTATTTTCTGACATGTCCTTTGATTCTAGTATTCAAAGAATGATCTCTGATATTCCATCAACATAGTACATGTTATCATTAAATACTAAAGGCATAAGTCTAGTTTAGCTGTTTCCAGTGAAACAATCAGAAATAGGCACACTATTAAGCTTCCTAAGTGGTCTTTGTGGAATCGATAATAGGAGAGGTGAAAGATTTAACTTATCAACCAGGTGGAACATCTTCAAGGTTCTTATTTACCATACAATCAAAAGAACCAAGTCTAAATCTATAATTGAAGAGGAGATTCAGTGAGTGGATTTCACTTTCGTAGAATCCAGTAGTGGCCAAAGAAAAGTTTAGCACAACAGCCAAATCAGTAAAGTACAGGGGTTAAAGCAGAGGGACACCATATCACCTTCAAAAGGTCTATTTATATGGAAGGAAAACTTTATGGAAACCTGCCTCTTTTATATGTATGTACCAAATCTTACAGAATTATTCAAGAAGCATGAGCTGGGTCCACATAAATGGAGAAAAACTAGATAAGGAGAAGGGGGAAGAATTGTTTCAGGTTAGCATGAATGTAGAGGGCTGGCAAGAATCAAGGAGAGATGACAATGTATTTAGATTTCTTTGGGCACAGTGAATAGGCAGTTTATCCGGAACATTGTTCATGTAGGATGAACGATGCTGTAATTCATATCCATGTTCATGTCTCCTAGCAATGGCAAAGGTTTCCTCTTAGTTACCCTGGTGTAAAGCTGCTAGATTATAAAGTATATGGATGCTCAACTTCCCAAGATAGTTTTCCAAAGTGCTGTACCAATTTATAACACCATTAACAATATTTAAGAGATCCTTTTAGATCCATATCCTCTCAAAATGACAGGCATTGTTAGAACTTCAAGCTTTTGTCTACCAAATGGGTATAAAATGGTATTTTACTATGTTCTTGATTTCTATTTCCAATAATAATGAACATCTTTTCTTTTAGTTTTTTTGTTTTGTAGAGAGATTTCTTGCTATAAGGTGTGTGCACTTGCCGGAGAGATAGAGAAACAGAGAGACAGTGAGAAATCACAACCACCACCACCCCCTGCCCCCAGGGAGGATGGTAATGCTGCAATCCCTTCTCCTCCATTCTCCTCTTGGGATTTTGGGCATGTACGCACATGCGCCTGGCATGAGTTTTAAGCTGCCAGGTCGGGGACTCAAACCATGGTCGACCACATAAGAGTCCAGCAACATAACCATTACGCCATTTGCTGCTGGTCCCTGTTTTTCTTTTGTTTTAGTTTGCTACAGGGCATATGCACTCAAAGGAGAGAGACAGAGAGAGGGAAACTGAGAAGACACTCACTGGGGGGAATGGCCATGCCACAATCCTTTCTACATTTTCCTCTCAGGATTTTGGACAAACATGCACCTAGTATGTTTGTTAGTCCACCCCCTACCCCCCCAAGCTGCTGGGTCTGGGACTCTAGCCAACGCAGTTGGCTGCATAGGATCCAGCTGCCTTAACTACCATGTCACCTGCTGGTCCTGAACATCCATCTATCTATCTATCTATCTATCTATCTATCTATCTATCTATCTATCTATCTATCCATCCATCCATCCATCCATCCATCCATCCAGGCCATATGTATTTCTTCTGAAAAATGCCTGTTTGTGTCATTTTCCCATTTTTTCCTTTGAATTGTTTATAGGTATTTTAAAAATATTCTCAATCCTAACCCTGTCAGTTGTGTGTATTTCAAGATCTTATCTCATGTTGGACCCTGTCTTTTTACTTATCTTAAGGTGTCTTTTGATGAATAAAAGTTTCTACTTTTAACCTAGGCAAATTTATCAATACATTGTTTTATAGTAGGCACATCTTTTGTCTTCTTTTAAAAAACACCACCCTGCCCCAAGGTCTAAAAGATATTTGCTCTTAAAGTCCTTAATCTAGCTGCATTGCTCTATGCATATAGCAATATAGGGTCCTACGTTCATCTTTTTCCAAACGGATAATTATTTTTTCCTGCTCCATTTACTGAATAGTTCTTTTCCTCACTGACCTGAAATGCCATCTCTTCCATACACCAAAGTTTCATACATGTATGACCCTGTCCTTGGGCTCTGTATTTTATTCTATAGAATGAGCTGGTTGTTCCTCTATGCTTTCTAAAGTGTTGTAAACTTCATAATAAGTCATCATGCCTCGTAAGGCAAATCCCACTTTCCTGCTCCTCTTCTTAAAAATGACGTATTCTTGGCCTTTTAGTCTAACATATAAATTTTAGAACCAACTTATTAAGTTTCATGAAAAACTCTGTTGTGATTTTGACTGGAATTGTATCTACAGATCAATTTGGGAAGAACTGACAACTTTACAATATTGCCTTCCCACCCATGAATATGGTATCTCTCTACTTCTTTAATGCCTTCCAATAACATAATTTTCCCTGTAGAGGTCTTTTTTTTTTTTAAGAGACATTTTTGCTATAGGGCACGTGTGCTCACTGGAGAGAAAGAGAGACAGAAAGCAAGAAATCACCCCGAAGGGGGGATAGCCATGCCGCAGTCCCATCTTCTCCATTCTCTTCTCGGGATCTTGGGCATGCATGCATACACATCTGGCATGAGTTTAAGCTGCTGGGTTCAGGACTTGAACCACAGTCGACTAAGTAGGAGTCCAGTGACATAACCATGATACTATCTGCTGGTCCCTCCCTGTAGAGGTCTTTGGTATCTTTTGTTAAGATTTATACCTAAGTTCTTCATATTCTCTGGTACTCTTATAAATGTTTCCTTTTTACTTAATTATATTTTTTAGTTGTCTGTTGCTGGTGTATAGAAATGCTAATGAGTTTTGTGTATTAACCTTAAATGTAACCATTTGTTAAACTTTCCTATTATTTATAATTCATCTGAAGATTCTTTATGATTTTCCATGTGAACAATCAATCATATCATTCACAAAAAATGACAGTATTGTGTCCTCCTTTCCAATCTTTATGTCTCTGACTCCTTTTTCTTGTCTTATTGTGCTGGTCCTTCAGTATGTTTCAAATGTTGGTCCTCAGAATTCCAAGATTCTGGAGGTGCTTCAGGGGTTCTGCAAATATTTGCCTCTAATGTCATTTAAAAATAATTATCTACTTTTAAAGTTTATAAACTTTTATTAAAGAATCCAAAATTCAATTTAATCTTAATACTGCTGGCCTATTAGCCCACTGTTCTCATTCTTCCTGGTACTTTGCTTTCTCTTTCCTAATTTTATACTCATTTCCTCATGCTGAACCTGATGTCTTTTATAATCCTTTTCTGTTATGCACTCTTAGAAATCTGGGTCCACATAAAACTAGAAGAAATCTTGGGAACTAGGAAACACTGTCTAATGAAAATGCTTTTCTCACTGCCAAAATGCCATCTTTCTCAGGGGACAGTGGTAAACAGCTGCATGTAACTATATTCCCCAGTGGATAATATATCTGTACCAAAATACCAACTGAAAAGGATACTGAAAAGACTGTTCTTTAAAGTTGGAGGAATAGCCGAGTTTGAGGCTGAGGTGTATACACAGGCTGAGTTTCCCTTATCTGAAATGCTTAGGACCAGAAGAGTTTTAAATTTTGTATTTTTTTGGATGTTGGAATATTTGTATATACATAATAAGATATCTTAGGGATGAGACCCAATTCTAAACACAAAATTTATTCATGTTTTATATATATCTAATATGCATAGTCTAAAGGTAATTTTATATAACATTTTGTATTATAACACTTTTTTGGAGAGGTTTTATTTGCAATAGGGCATGTGCGCTTGCCAGAAAGACAGAGAGACAGAAAGTGAGAAATCACCCCCCAGGGGGGATGGCCATGCCGCAATCCCTTCTCCACCATTCTCCTCTTGGGATCTTGGGCACGTACGCACACGGGCCCAGTGTGAGTTTAAGCCACTGGGCCCAGGACTTCAACCATGGTCTACTACATGGGAGTCCAGTGACATAGCCATTACACCATCTGCTGGTCCTATGTATTGTAACATTCTGATTATGACCCATTACATGAGATCCAGTGTGGTATCTGTGGTATCATGTCAGCACTCAGGAATTTTCAGATTCTGGAGCATTTCAGATTTTGGATTTTTGGACAAGGGATGCTCAACCTGTACTTGGAATTTTGACAACTATGTTCATACCAATAAAACCAATATCAAGCCAATATTTATACTCTACTTTTGATCCGGAATAATTACTTAATGAAAATCAATCACCAAAATAATTCTAGTATAAGAAAGAAGGAAAAGATCTAATCATGGAAATTGAGCTCAATGCCAAAAACATACCTGCTACCACTCATTACGTAACCTGAGCATTCAAATGATGCAATTTCTTCACTTGTCAAGCCAATTTCACCTCTTCGTGGGATACGTTTTCCAGCTTTTACATATTCGGCCATAGCTGCACCTTCACCAGGTAACAGAGCATGCCCATAGCTACAAATGAATGGAGAATTTGGAAGAGGACCATGAAACCATCTCAATATAAAAAGCTCATCATCTAAGAAGAGCACAAAAAAACATTCTCTCTCAGACAAACAGTGCTTAGTAGTTGTGTGCTCGGAAGCCCAATGTGAATTACGTTAATTTAACTAGATAACATTGTACTCTGACCTACATACGTACCCAAGAAATACAGAGATACTTTGGAAAAACAAAAGAACTGATGTTAGTGAGTACAGAGACACAGTTTACAATGACAGAATAATTTATCCCTATAGGTATTGCCATTAATGGTTCTACCTCCAACTGATTCCCTTTTCCTTTTTCCCTTACAAAAAAAAAAATAAACCAAAGTAGAGAAATAATATATCTCAAGTTAATATACTTTTTAGACTTACAACCAATAACGATGCTGTATAGTGACAATTATCTTTTTTTTTTTTTTGGAGAGGTTTTTGCTATAGGGCATGTGCGCTCGCCAGAAAGACAGAAATTGAGAAATCACCCCCCAGGTGGAATGGCCACGCCACAATCCCTTCTCCTCCATTCTCCTCTTGGGATCTTGGGCACACACGCACATGTGCCCAGCATGAGTTTAAGCCACCGGGTCCGGGACTTGAACCATGGTTGGCTACATGGGAGTTCAGCAACATAGCCATTACGCTAACTGCTGGTCCTGTGACAATGATCTATTAACTTTCATTCAAAGGGATTTAAAAAGCTACCACTCCTTCATTCAATTAAGTGAGTATTTCTTGCATACCTATTAAAATCAAAGTTTATAATATAAAACTAATTTCTGTCCTTGTGGAGTTTATATATTCATATGTACCTACAGTACAAGGCAAGGTAAACACTACATTGCATAAAAGAAACAGAAAATGCAGTGAGTATTAAAGAGCAGTAGAAATGATTCCTACCTGTGGAGGGGATATACTGGGAATCAGCACATGCTCCCTCCTTTTGAAAAGGGCTTTAAAGGATGACAGCGATTTTCACAGGATGAAATTGGGGATAGGAAGAAAACGGGGCAGAGAAAAGAACAGGCATTCTGGGGGACAAACAAGGCCCCAAAGTAGAAACACACACAGTAAATAAAGGGAACTTTTAGTAGTCTAGCTCAGTTGGAACCTGAGGTATAAACAAGAGACTACCGGGAAATAAGCTTGACAAGGTAAGTTAAGGCCATAGGTTTTAGAAGGCACTTTATATATTATACATACACTGCTACTTACTTCAAAGGTTTATCGTCTTGAGAGGCAAGTGTTTTTGGAGCCTCTGGGCCGATTAAATCTGAGGGTTCTTCAGCCTCTGCATGAAAGATGTTCAGAAACACATTCACATTTTGACTAATTGGTTGCTTTAATGTTTCATCTGTTCTGCGTTAAAGTCTATCAGAAGAACCTACTTGATCGATCCTTCCAGGGATTCTCTAGAAACTCTTCTTGGGAATCTTTAGAGCTTGAATCACTGGACTCTTTTCTGCTCTTCTTAGACTTCTTTTTCTTATATTTTTTTCTGTAAGGATTATAATTTGATATAAACTCACTTAACATTCCCACATTAAAGGACATCTTAATTTTTCAAAGCAACAGAAGATAAGACTGGGACTGGCAGTGTCATGTTGGTTGGGGCACTGAACTCTCACATGGTCAACCATGGCTCAAGTCCTGGACCTGGCACCTTGCTTTCTCACTCTCTCTCTGGTCAAATGGAAAAATAATGATAATAAATAAAATAAAATAAATCATTCTAAAAATAAATAAATAAAAGACAGGTAAGAGTGGGAACCAGCAGTTAGTATAATGGCTATGTTGCTGGACTCCCATGTAGTCGACCATGGTTCGCGTCCCGGATCCGGTGGCTTAAAACTCACGCCAGGCGCGTGTGCGTGCGTGCCCAAGATCCCGAGAGGAGAATGGAGGAGAAGGGATTGTGGCGTGACCATCCCCCCCGGGGGGGGTGATTTCTCACTTTCTGTCTCTATGTCTCTCTCTGTCTGTCTGGCGAGCGCACACGCCCTATAGCGAAAACCTCTCCAAAGGAAAAAAAAAAAAGGTAAGAGTGATTAAAATGATATAAATTCCTAGCCTATTCAATCTTATTAGAGAAGAATTTTAATATCTTCTAACTTATTTAAGAAAGCCATGTTTCATTATAAAAAATGATTGCTAAAGGGTACAGTGAAATAGTTATAATGTTGAAGAAAGACAACAAATAAAATAGCCTAAAATTGGATCTTACCAATTTGAGCATTAATGGTAATTTAAAGTGTAATGGATTAAAATACATCAAATCTTTTTTTTTTTTAACAGGTTTCTGCCTAAGGGCGCATGCACTCACTGGAAAGACAGACAGTGAAAGGGAAAATGAGAAATTACCCTCTGGGAGTAGGACCAGTTCTGTCGGGATCTTGGGCACACATGCACATGCACCTGGTGATTTGGAAGCCACCAGTTCTGGGACCCGAACTACAATCAGCCATGTGAGAGTCCAGCAATGCAAACATTATGCTATCTGCTGGTCCCAAAATACATCGAATATCTTAAAGTCTGGGGCCAGCTGGTGGTGCAGTGGTAACATAAGGCTCTGCAATGCTGGACCACATGGAAGGGTTACAGGTTGACCTTAACGTGGGATAAGGCTGGAATACAGCGTCAAGACACTGTTGGGGGTGCTGCCATTCTTACGGAAGAAAAAAACTTTTAAAAATAATAAAAATGCCTAAATCCTTGGGTTCCTAATTATACTAAAAAAGTCAACTCATTCAAAAATTGAAGCAGTTATCCTGCCCCTATATAAATTGTACTTCAAGTTATCTAAATAGTTCATGACGGTATGTTTCTCTTATAAAATTATTCTACCAAATAAATAAAAAAGGAAAGTCAGAATTAGACTATGACCATTTTGTAATCCTTAATAATGAATCTACACAATGACCATGAATGGCTGTTAACGTGACAAAGAAGGACTAGATATTATTTGTTTCCTGATGAATTTATAGAGTACCACCTATGAAATATTCTTGCCTCAAATACAACTGGGAACCTCCTCAAGCCTCTAGACCTATCCACCTATAGGAAATACAGAGGACAAACGAACATACTAAAGGAAACCATAAGAATACAATCATTGCGATTTATGGGCATTATTTGGACCCTGATTAGAATAAACTATAGAAAAACTGTGGATTGAGGAATAATTGTTAAATATTTTTAGGCATGAAAATAGCACTTTTTTAAAAAATAAATAATGCCTCTTTTAGAGAAGAGCACTGGAAATATTTGGGATTGGTTACAAAATAATTGGGAAATTATGGAGAATGCCCTTAAGTTGATAAGTGTTTAAACTTAGTAATGAGCATAAGGAGGATGATTATATAATTTTATATACATTTGAACTTTCACATAATAAAAATGAAAAAAACTGACGATCTGTGTTTCTTCTTCTTTTCCTTTTTCTTTGCTTTCTTTGCTCTCCTTTTTGTTTCTTCATCTGCAAATTAAATCACATTATAATTGAAAAAAATTAACTCTAAAGTCTAATACTTTCAAGTAGAGTAGTATCTTACTGTTGCTCCATTTGTTGTTATAAAGAAATTACTTCTTTAAACATTTATTGCTCTCATACTTGACACTGGGTACATAGAGATCAGTCACACTAGGTATTAGGAGATATAGAACATTATTTAATTGCATTAAATAACATCATTGTGGTTAACTTAGAAAATGTCCTTATGTTTCAGAGATCTACAAAAATATTTAGCACTGCTATATAATGACATTTTTTATGATTACCTAAGTAAAACACTGATATTTGAAGCAAATATGAAAATACTAAAATCTTAAATCTGGGTGATAAGTGTTTGTTATTAATTACACTAATCCCTTTACTTTCCTAAACATTTGAAAAATTCCATAATGAAAAGGGAAAAAAACCCTATGTATATGAGATGGAAGAGGACAATGCTTCCCAGCTCAGTCTAATGGAGGAGGCAGGTAGAGAGAAAAATACAATCCAGAGTGACAAGGAAGATTGGGGTGCTCTGGGCAATCATAGTCATTGAACAGTCAGACTGATTTGGGGAAGGTGGCTGAGGAATGGTTGATCAGGAAAATGTGACTCTTCAGCTAGCATCTTTCTTTCTTGTTTAAGTTTTGGTATAATACATGTGCGCTGTTAGAGAGAAACACACAGAGGGAGAGGGAAACTGAGAAATGACCCCCAAGGGGATGGCCATGCTGCAATCCTTTCTCTTCCATTCTCCTCTCAGGATTTTGGACACACATACACCATATGCTTGGCGTGATTTTCAAGCTGCTGGGTCTGGGACTCTAACTGTAGTCAGCTATGTGGGACTGACGCCACCTAGTGGCTCAAGATAGTTTCTTTTTTAACGGACACATAATTGTGTACATTTACAGGGCACACTGATTTGTTCACTACATGTATGATAATCAAATCAGGGTAATTAGCATATCCATCATCACCAAAGTTTATCACTACTTTGTGATTGGAACATTGAAAATTCTCTTTTAGCTATTCTGAAATCTATAATAAATTATTGTTATCTGTGGTTACCTTACTGTGCTACAGAACAGTAGAACACAGTTCTCTTATCTAACTGTAATTTTCCATCTGTTACACATCATCTCCCTGCCCTTCCCAGCCTCTAGTAAACATTATTCTACTCTCTCCTCCTGTTAGGTCAACGTTTTTAGTTTCCACATATGAGTGAGAACATGTAATTCTTCTCTTTCTGTGCCTGGCTTATTTCACTTAACAATGGCTAAATAATACTTCTGTGTGTTTGCACATTTTCTTTATCCATTCAGACATTGAGGTAGATTCCATATCTTGGCTGTTGTGAATATGGATGTAATCAACACTGGAGTGTAGATATCTCTGTGATGTACCGGTTTCCACTCCTTTGAATGTGTCTACTAGCAGTACTGTTGGGTCACATGGCAGCTCCACACTGTGTTCCATGATGGCTGTATTAATTTACACTTCTGACAACAATGTAAAAGAGCACCCCTTTCTCTGGATCCTTGCCAGGATTTGTCATTTTTTTGTGGTTTTGACAGTAGCCATTCTACCTGGGGTGAAATATCTCACTGTGGCTTTCATTTACATTTCCCTGATTATTAGTGATGTTGGGCATTTTTTTTTTCATTTACTGTTGGTTATATGTATGTGTCTATTCAGATAGCTTTAATGTTAGTTCTTTTTAAAATTGGTTTATAGACAAAGAAAAAACGAACTCCTGCTTTGCTTTTATTGAAGGGTTCCCAGGACTGCGTGTCTGCTCCTGAGCTCTGTTTTAAGTATGTGTATCCTTTGCTTGTATTTTGTATTAAAAAATAAGAAAAAGAACCCTTTGTTGTTGAGCATGTTGGCATTGTCCCCTTTATTTTTTCTCTTTTTGGGACATATGAAGCAAGTTATTCTTTTTCTGTATCTTTTTTTTCTTTTGTAAACTTTTTTCTTTTGTTTAAAAATGTCTTTATAAAAGGGCTTTTATACCCCCCGCATCGGTTTATCATAAAAGTAACGGAAGCCCAGTGCTGCAATGAGTAAGCGAAGCTGGGTGGAGGTAGAGACTGGCATGTAGGCAGAGTCCTGGACCTGGCGGAGTCCTGCACCAGGTAAGAGTAGAGAGAAACAATATGGAATACTGAGGAGGTAAAAAGTAGTTTTCAGCTTACAGAGGATGGTGCAAGAGAGAATGACAGGGTATATGTGATTAGAGAGGGATTGATCAGGGTCTGAGCTTTACCATGAAGGCTACGAAGAGCTATTTTAAGTAAGGGGTTGACATGCTCAAGTTTGTGTTTGAAGAAAGTTCAGTTTTCATGGGACCAGCAGATGGTATAATGGTTACGTTGCTGGACTCCCACTGTGGTTCGAGTCCCAGACATGGCAGCTTAAAATGCATGCTGTGTGTGTGTGCCCAAAATCCTGAGAGGAGAACAGAGGAGAAGGGATTACGGGATGGCCATCCCTTTTGGGGGGTAATTTCCTGCTTTATATCTCTGTCTCTCTGGTGAGCACACATGCGCAATAGCAAAAATCTCTCTCTACAAAAAAAAAAAAAGAGTCAGTTTTCCAACAGTAAGGAAGAAAAGTAACATAGGAATGTGGGAAAGCCAGGCAGTATCAAAAGAAGAGGAGCCTTTCTATAATGTGTCAGCTCCAGAGAAGGCACCCTCTGGTTAGCCAGCAGCTAACAAAGGGTATAAAAAGATGACTTTTGGTGATGCAGTATCTTAAAACGGGGTGTCTTACATTGATCAAGAACATCCAGTGTGAAAGGGGGTACTTTATGGCACAACTTTTTGAAAATGGTACAAAGTGCCCATTGGGCATGAGAATTACACAACAGGACCCTTCCGTTGGGCTAATATATTCAGGTAAAGCAGGCCCTATAAGGCTTGCTTTGGCACTCCGTCTCGCAGCCCACCCCCCTGACTTGGTCTGGTGTCCTGTACCTTGTACAACTATGCGCAACCAATCTTGAGTCACAGTACTTAGGTCTGAAATGCAACTGTGACCTTGGGTGTGGTACTTATAATCTGCCCTGTACCTCTATTTCCTCAAATATCAGGTGGTCGTACCCTACAGTTATTGTGTGGATTAAATGGCAATAATGAATATAAAGGATGTAGCGGGGAACCAGCAGTTAGCGTAATGGCTATGTCGCTGGACTCCCACGTAGTCGACCGCGGTTCGCGTCCTGGACCCGGTGGCTTTGAACTCACACCAGGTGCCATGTGC